TTCCTACTAATTCTAGACCAACAAGAATTATTCAACCAACCACAAGATTGTTGGAGTCTATATAAGGTAGAAAAGAATATAAAGGATAATGTAATTGACATCACCAAGTTCACCTTGTTTCTACTCACATAGAAGCTCCAAACTCCATTCAAGAAGCAATGGAGAGGATTGATGCTCAAGAATGGCAACAAACAATCAATGCTAAAATTACATCCTTAAACAAGAACAATATATGGCACATGAAAAATTTACCTCCTAATCAAAAATCAATCAGTTCAAAGTGGATTTTTAAAATCAAAACTAAAACTCATGGAAGTGTTGACAAATATAAAGCAAGGCTAGTTGTTAGAGATTTCACACAAGTTCAAGGTATTGATTACACAGAGACATACTCTCTTGTAGTCAAACTTAACTCTATCAAATTTCTTCTTGCTTTAATTGCTCAACATAATCTAGAAATATATCAACTAGATGTTAGAATAGCATTTTTAAATGGTTTTATAGAAGAAGACATCTATATGACTATCCCTAAAGGATTACCTTCTATACATACTAATAAGATATGTAAACTAAATAAATCCCTATATGGTCTTAAACAATCATCTAGAGCATGGTATCAATGATTAGATCAATACTTAATCCTTCACAAATACCAATGTGTCAAATCAGCTGCAAACATATACATCAAAAGAAAATATAATCAATATTTTATCATAATTACAGTCTATGTTGATGATTGTATTCTTGTCAGCAATAAACTTCTTTTAATTCAGCAAGTCAAAATCATTTTCCACCAAAAATTTGACATGTCAGATGAAGGAAAAGTCCATTATACTTTAGGCAATGCCATATTAAGAAATCAAAAAGAAGGATGGATCATCCTCCATCAAGCCAAATACTTAACAAATAAACTTAATAAATTCAATATGTTGAATTCCAATCCATTAAGTACCCCAATTCAGCAAGGAATTTGCTTAAGTAATGAAGACCCTATTACTTTATCTGATTACCCCTATTCTCAAGTTGTTGGCAGATTAATGCATGCCATTGTTAATTCTACACCCGAATGTGCTTATACTATTAGCAGTTTAGCACAATATCTCTCTAAACCAAGACCTATACATATTCAAACTTTGAAAAGAACTATGAGATATATAAAAGGCACATTATCCTTTGGAATAAAATATCAATACTTACTTCAAGGTGATATTTTCCATGGTTATTTTGATGCTGACTGGGCACGTGACGCTCCACCTCTGGCTTTTGCTTCTTACTAGCTAGAGGAGTTATTTCTTGTGGCAGCAAGAAACAACAATCTATTGCTTTGTCATGCATAGAATTAGAATACATAGCTTTAACAAAAGCAACCACTGAAGCCATATGGTTGAGAAAATTATTATATGAACTTGGATTCCCTTAACATGCACCAACCATCATATACTCAAACAGTCAAAGTATAATTGCTCTTAGTGAAAATCCAAAATATCACTCAAAAAGCAAACATCTGGATACACAATACCATTTCATAAGAGAAAAGATACTTGCGAAGGAAATTAAATTATAATATGTACCAACCATATTTACAAAATCTTTTTTCAAAGAAAAACATTTTCAGTGCTTATTTCAACTAGGCATGTATTCTATTCCTCTCAATTCAAAACAAGAAACCTATTCTACAACAATTCAAGCATTGCTGGTCTATTCAAAATCACCAAACATTCTACAACAACCATATTTTGATACATCATGGAGTGGAAGAACACATAGTAAGCCACTTCACTCCAAATCCATGAAATATCAAAATACATAGATTGACGCCACTGAAGCAGTGGAGCTCGCCACGGTCGATCTCACATTGGCTGGCAACTTCACTACAACAGCGGAGTCTGCCACAGCAGCAGCGAAGCCCGCCACGATCGACCCCACATTGGCGGTCGACTCCACTATAACCGCATAGTCCGCCATATCGACCCCGCATTGGCGATTGATCCTACTGCAAAGCCCGTTAAGGCACCTACATCGACAGCCGACCCTCCATCAATGTAAACACAAGTAGTAGAGGCGATCTTCATGGCGACAGCAATCTTCAATAGCAGCAGCTCCTCCAACAACAACAACGAAAACAGCTTCGCAATAAAAAGGGAGTGTGTACGAAGCAATTATGAAACACAATCTAATAACAGTTCAAAATCAACAAAGAAACACATACCTTCTCAGATTTGAAGAAGGAGTGGGAGAGCTCTACATCAACGCAACATCCAAAAAAGAGATTGAAACCCTATATTTCTCATACATATTTCTCATAATGGATGAACTTCTACAATAGATGAAATCCAATTCAAGGATGAAGATTAGTGTACTAGTGGGAGTATTGGGAGAATTATACTATATAGTACACTAGTCTCTTGTGTAGAATACTGTCTACTCTATATTGACCTTACACCAACAGTTGTGACTCTTGGTGTCACAGTGGTACACACAATATATATATTGTGTGTCAATTAATCATATTAATAATAATGACGTTTTCAACACATTGGTCGTTACTGCAAGCGCTAGCAACTCCGCTATCGTGATGTACACGAACTTCCACGCCGATTCCTTGAATTTGATCAGCTTCATCTCTTCCTTCTCTTGCTCCACCCCGGAAAGCTTCGATAAATAATCAGGAGTGCAACCCACTATTGACATCCGTCCCATTCTCTGCAAAGGGGATTGATACGCGCACAAACACGAAATAAATCCCGAAAGTATACTCCATCATCCAACACAATCGGAGCTGTCCGCCATCCAAGTAAAAAAATAAAACACCACCATCCTCTCGGAACCTACCTCAAAAACAAACTTGCTGAGAGAGTAGCGAACAACCAGAAACAGCAGGGCGAAGAACGGCACAAGCACTAGATTAGAAACTCAAAACAGGCTGTCCTCGTCCCATCGGGGGGGGGGGGGGGGTGCACAATTCCGGTAGAGAGGTGCAGGACGAGCTGGTCGACCAAGACGAGCTCTGCATCGTCATCGACGCCAACATTACGGACCCACAGCAGCAGCAGCAACTCCTCGACTTCAACCACAAGCACGACACCAGAATGTCAGCAACAACACAACGTCGCAACTACATATCCAGTGTCGCTGGCATGGCGAAGATGCGCGTCGCGCTCCGCCCTGATGCGTCATCACGCATCCCCACGAGATGAGGCTGGTGGCGACGGGGTCAAGGAATTCCGGCGACTGGCGATGAAGGTTCCTCTCACTCGCATCACGCGAGGCTCTCCCGCGACGCGATGCGCGCGTTGCGAGCGTCGGAACCCTCATCGCTGGCTCTGAAAACTAGAATACTGTGAATATCATAATACTGTGAATACTAGAACACTATAATAATAGAACTTTTTAATACTATAACTCTTTATATGGTCAGTCTCACCCACACAGGCACCCAGCTGGTACCATTTGTGATAATCCCTTTGTATTTGGATGATATTATTAGGTCTAAATAATAACACAACATATTATTTAGATCATAAATAACAACAATTCTAAGTGGTTATTGCATTTATTTTTGGCAAGAATTTGACAGGGACCTACAATCTAATTGAATGAGGAATTATTGTATATTTGAAGCTATGATGGTAGTTGTTAATGATTTGATTTTGCAAAGTATTCGAACTTCTTTGTTTTATAAATTTAGATGAGTTTGAACAGAAATATCTTTCTTTTTTTTTCTTTTTTTTAATACTTTAATGTGATTTTAGAGTGTTATAACATTAGATACTTTTTTAAAACTAAATACTAAGTTTGGTTTTAAAGAAAAACTAAATATTAAGCATCAAAGGTTTAAGATATTTTAATTCTTTTTTGGAGTTGTATGCTTAAATTAACTTTTTATAGGTGAATATTCACAAGGAGTGTTTCAAATGTGTTAAGAATCAGTGTAGCATTGATTTAATTGCATGGTTGTTGACAAATTTTGGTGTCTTTTTCATAGAGGAATACACTAATAGCAAAGAAGAATTGATTGGGAGTACAAAGCACTGTATTTATATATTGAAGTCTTAAAATAGCATGCATGTATACATACATGTGCTTTGTTGGTTACATCCTTCAATTACTTTAAATTACACTTCTAAGTTTGACTACTTTTCTAACAAAATACATGAGCCAACAAAATAAATTAAACTGTAAATATCTCTCAAGCACTTATGACATAATTATATCAAAGACTCAGGTTTCCATTGCGAATAAGACCTACTGTCGAAACGCATCCTCAAAAAAGTATAAGAAAAAAAATAAAAATTGGGGGTTAGATTTATTCTCAACTCAATCATTCAATTCCACAATCTTGGTTGCATTTCACATGTGGGATTCTTTATTCACTTAGAGTTTTCAAAACCTTGAGTCATTCGAGGAACAAAACCAATTGAATCTCCACCAAAAGACCAAAGCATTGACATAAAACAAGTGGAAATATATTCAAACTCCTTCCATCTAGTCTTGAATTTAACTGAGAATGGTTGGTTTGCGTCACATGTGTCGGTGGAACGCAAGAGGCGTCAAATTGAGTGATTCGGAATATGCAATTAAAATAGGTTTGACCGGATGAAGGTCAAGGAACTTTACGGTGGTTTTAGATGGGTTTAGGTGCAGGCCAAAGAGCATTGCAACCCTCCAGGATCTAGTGATTTTTGGGTTCAAGAGACTCAACAGAGTTGCAAGAATCTAGTGCTTGTTGATGCAGCAGCGAAGTCTGGATACAAATGACTTGCTGAAGCTGTGGAGTTCAGCTGCTGAAACCAGGGTGGTTGGTTTCAGTGCCTAGCAAGTCTATGCCTAGCTAGCTCAAAGGTGGACCTGATTTCGGTGTTGCAGAGAACCGGATGAAATGGTCTGGCATTACCTTAGTTAACGAGGCCAAGATCACACCTGTGTGTACGACTGAAGACTGATCTTGTTAACAGTCACATGAGGTACAAGCCAGAGCGTTTCAAAAGCAGTGCACAGAGTGAACAGTGAATACGATTGCACCGGGGAGTCCCCCTTTTTATAAAAAAGCATCAGATTAGTCGTGGTTTATTCCAATCCACCCTTTGCTACGAGAGCATTGTGTTTAGCATCAGAGTGCGGACCTCTTTGCACCTAGCTGTTGGACAGGATGTGACCACCTGAGTCTGAGGGAAGTGCAGGCTGATGGTTTCTCCGCGCAAGAGGTCTTGAGGAGTAGAAACCTGGATTGCCTTATCAACTAGTGTAATTGCTGTCAAAATGCAGAGAACTAAGTAGTGCACACAAGGATTAAGCTAAAGCGGAGGCTAGTAGCCGATGTCTACATCCTGGCGTTCCAGAATGTGAAGTCTGGGGAACATTGAAATCCCCCCTCAGGATAGATGTGCTTGCCGGTCAGGAAGGCAGTCACAGCGGCCTTGTTGAAGGCGTCAGACGTGTGGACGCCGTCCCAGCTAAGGTGAGCCTTGTGATTGAAGCACGGCGTCGTGCCCGTCAAGTTCACCATTTCGTTGCCGACCGTGCCGAGGTGGCCGCAAGTGACATCCTTGTTGAAGCTGTAGGATCCTCCCACTCCGCAGCATGCCTTCAATGGCTCTGTGATGTCTGAGATGTTACCCAAACAGCCCCATTAGTGTCAGAGCCGGAAGATTTCATAGCAAAGAGATGACTATGGTGGGTGAGATATCAAAAACAACTTACTGTAAGCCTCGGGGTTCTTGAGTATGTCTGTGTAGACACCGTGGATATCACCGTAGAGCAGCCTCAGTGTGTCGGGGTACTTCTCCCGTAGGGCAATTACCTTCTCTCCCAGCAAACGATTGTGCTTGGTGGTGATCTTGTTGAGGTCGCTCAAACAGCCATGGCTGTTGTACTTTGCCCCTGGTGTTTGGTATATTGTGAGCATGGCAGGAATGCAGCCCAAAGGTGGCAAGCCTAGGACCAGAATGTCTTTAGCAGCGGGCATAACGTAACTTGGAGAGCCAGGAGGATAGTAGACTGAAACCTTCAGCATGCCCTGCGACCATATCAAGTACGTAATCAATTAACCAAGTCACATTTTTCGGAGGGACTGATTTGCGCCGATTTCCACCTTGCCGACGGCGAATTTCATCAAGCGATCATTGATTTGTGCAAGCTGATTGAATTTACCTCAATAAGAGTACCGATAGACTCCACGACCTCCTCCACAATGTTCAACGCCTGACGAGGAGTGAGCGTCTTGTCGTAGAGGCTGTAAAAGTAGTCCTGGTAGCCGGCATACACCAGGAACAACGACTGGTTTATGCTGTTCAATGTGGGCAGAGGCTGCACAACGACTGCAAAAAAGATAATGCGATAAGTTGGAAGTTCTACATTAGAAATTCTCTGCAATATTACTAATCCTCACCAATCGAACCTAAAGAATTAATAGAGATCCTTGAAACGGGAAGCATACATTCATTCTCTTATGTCATGATATAACAATATCAAATTGGGCACTCACTTCCTGGGTTCATGTATTCGTAAAACCACAGTCGAATTTTGTAGCGCTCAAACCATTGCAGCTGCACATCCAGGCTGAAGGGTGTGTAGTAAGGTCCAGAGGCCTTGCTGTATAAAGTCACGTTCCTTGCCGAACCGCCGACCGCCGCGAAGTTGGTACCATATCTGAAGTCTGGAGAAGTTCCTCTCAGCACTGGGTAGATGGGCCGCCTCCGAACTCCAAAAGCTTTGATAACCAGCCAAATTCGCATTTACACAATAGTGAGAAAGTTGGGACACAATCGAAATGTAGATTATGAGTTTCACAGATTCACTGTTCGCAAATTCGATCCAAATGGCACTGTCGAGGTTGGCTAGAAAAGCCATGCAGGGTAAGCTCTATGTGTAGCAGGCATGATAAATTGGCCTTGTGATCACATACCTAGGAAGTCGACGAGCAATTTTCCATCGCAGAATCGATCAGCTGGATGCATGGGAAACTCGATGCCATTGGGATCCAACTCCGCGTGAGCGAATTTTTCAGGAAAGGCAGCGATAGCGTTTCCGACATCGGTGAGCCCGTCCCCAAAAGCATAGACTGCAGGATAGGAGCAGTTTGGAAGAAGATCCTGAGCTGCACTTAATCGGACGCAATGCAAGATGCAGAGGATGAGAGCTACCCAGCACAATGAGGTCTTCATTTTCGACGAAATGTCTTCAAATCAACTTGATTCCCACTAGTATGTCTATCGGTAGTTCAGCAGCTGAGTTTCCTCATCACCGCTTTCGACACAAATTTATGATACACTGTGATTGCGATGAGCATGTTTGATGTGACTGCTGATTTGGTTGCCATTTATCGTGATTTCCGATCGCAGCAGCGTTACAGATGTCAACAGTTCCTTTTTGAGAAGAGAAGTCGCAGTGTGATACAGCAAAGCGGAGTCTTTTTCCATGAATCTTTAGACATATTGAATTAAAGCGACCTTCAAAGAGAAAAAGTATACGGCGAAGTCAAATAGTTTCTTTAATCTAGAACTTATGTGCTTTAAATTTCTCCGTGAAAATTATTGTAGGGCAAACCATTGAGCGCATTCTCATGCATAGTTCTGTCTCAAGCACGCATCTGACACGTCGTGGTGGAGTTGGAAGGATTAATGGGGACATCAAATGCCAGCTGACCGAAGGAATAAGACGACCATTGTTCTTTACTAAAGGATGACTCGCGTGGTTATCATCGTGTGTGATAGACTTGGCTGAAAGTGAAAAAGGAAATTTTTGTTTTTATTTAGTTATTCATTTATTGTTTCTTTTGTCTTTTTTACCAGGAATTTCTCCATAAAATTCCACCTCTCAATACTGTTTACTGGTTATTAAGTGAATCTAGAGACATTAGCAAATTTCGATTCAGAAATTTATGCCCAGTCCTCGTGCGACTCCACACTTGACTTGTGGTTTGTTTTCTGCACGTTACGGCTTTCTCGTTCAGAAGATGGACAAATCGGGATTGTCAGATGTCACCACACGCGAGAGTTACAAGTTCTAACAAACTTAAACTGTTAACGATGTGACTGCCCTCACTCACATGTCCCCATATCCCCAACCACGGCTCCTTCATAATCGCTTAACAACATAAACATTTCAGCACTAATAACAACATAAATATTCCACGATACTCATCCACTTGATCAAAAGCATGCAGTAAACGCAGACCTCACTGGAACATGAAAGGTTTGACAATGGGTTGACAAATCAGACGGAGCTATGTGAGCTAGAAGTATACGACATATGCTACCTGCCGGGATAGAACCTGCCGCAACTTTGAACCGTTCAGCGGAGGCGAAAGTGGTCATTACGAATATACTAACACTATATTTCTTACCGGTGACAAGCCCTTTGCCATAGAAGTCGTCCCAGGGTCAAACACCCGAGCCTTTCACTTTGCCTTTAGAGCTTTGGGCCAGTTGCGCGTCTACGGGTAGCCGTCTCCACAGTTGTCGCTGGCTAGTTCTGAATCAACTTCTACACGCGACGTCTAGCCCACATAGCAAACCCTGCTATGATAGCTCCGCTCTTATCCCATGCTCAACTTGGACCTCTGCTTGGTGGTGCAGATGTAACGAGAAACATGGTCCGATTGTCTGCACACCGTACGGACCACCACCAGGAAATCAGCACACCTCCCACCCGGCTAACGTATGCTCCACGCACACGGAGTTACGATTAGCTTACCAGTCTACGAAAACAGCACATGGAATTATCAAACAAATCTCCTGCAATATTACCCTCAACCTGCATCAACATACACGATTCTATGATCAGATCAGAGCGCTTTTTGTTTTTGCCGCACCATCGCCATGCTAAGAACTGGGATTTTCTCCTTGTTTTGTGACAAAAAACATCATCTGACTGTTGCTTCTTTTGTGAGTCCATTTCGTTGGATCTAGACACAAAAACAAACAGTCTCATTCCCTTGTCGGCCGCTTATCTTCCATCAAACCTGACTTTCGCGGCGGTTGATCGGGGGTTCGAACGCGTGATCGATTGGAATGGTCAGTAGTTTTATTCATTGTAATAAAAAAATATTGAAGGTGGTGATTGTTCTGGTTCTTATTAAAAGAATAATTTTGGAGTATGAATACGTTGTATGAATCTAATTAAGTATTGAAAATATGTTTTTTTATATGGGTTTTTGTAAGATTAGAATATGAAAATTTCAAAGTAGGGTACACTCCAAATTATGTGTTCATGTGAGGAAATCAAAATTTCGTAATTTCTATTTTGATTTTTTTTCAAATTCATTGATGGTAATAATGATGTTGGTGTATATTAAAGGAATACTTCAATCATTTCGAATCTAGAGTAACGTCAAATTGAGCTCTGATAATTGACAATTTTACTAACTTATTGTGGTTGCATTCATGTCATTGTGTGATATTTCAACAAAATTGAGATTATTCTTTTGTACAAGCTAATGACATATTATCGAAATCACAAATTTTATTATGAATAAATTTTTGGTTATCTAATTTAAATTTAGAATGCCAAATTTTGAACATATTTAGAATCTATAGTGCAAAATAAAATAAAATAAAATAAATTTAAACTTATGCCATTAAAATTGAATACAATAGATTTTCTGAAGAATTAATGCAGTAATTTAATTAATCTTCGGAAAAATAGTAAAAATAAAATCACTTTACCAAAAACTATAAGAGTGTTTTTTGGCTTTCTACTACTAAGAACCAAACTAAGTTTCTACTGCAAAAACTAAAAGCATTTGTAACTCAGATATTTGTTAGTTAATATAATTGAATTTAGAAATGAATTTTCAACCAAATTTATTGTTGAAATACAACTTCAACAAACTATGATAAATAATCATAAATAATTTTAATCTTTTTTGTTGAATATTTTATTTTTATACTTATACTTTTAAACATTAATATTATTAAAATAAACATGAAAAATTTAGTATTAAGGAGGTACATTTTTTCTTTTTTTAAAGATACTAAAAATACCTAAATTTAATTATAACATCAAAAAATATTTTAAAAAATACATAAAGACAACTGATTACTTTTAATATTATTTATAGTAAAAAAAATCCTTTTAATTTAAAATATTAAAATTTTATTAAAAAATATTTGAATTTTTAATAAAATTCTAGAATTATATATATGTATATATATATATACATACATACATACATACATACATACATACATACAACTATACCTTGGATATTCATAACTCTTTAACTAATATTCTTGACTTATGTCATAATATTTCTTAGAATAGAGGTCCTTCCTAGATTGTAAACTTACATCTCTTGATTAATATTCCTTGAACAATTTATAATATTTTCATACACCAAGGTTATAAATTAAGTAAGATACACTTATAGAGAGATATATGTAATATTTTAATAGTTAAAAAAGTTATCTCAAAATTGTACTAGTTATTATAATTTATTAATTTTATACATATTATACATGTTGTCGTGTAGTAACATGACTATATGGTAAAAAATAAAAATGTGGATGTTATTATAGAAGAGCCTAGTAGAAAGATGTAGTAGAAAAACAAGGATAAATAATAAGAAGGTAATGAAAGGTTAGTCTTAATGCTGCCTTTTAGAGAAGGGGCTTCTATTTGCTTTGTAGGGACAGAATTGCCTCAAATCAAAGTAAATGAGATAAGTAATTAATATAGATATGTTTAGAAGGGAGTTACCAATAGGATCAAGCAAAAATTACCTCAAATGACCAAATATTGATACCTTGAGAGTACTAGTTGTCAACTTGGATTGAAATCAAACCCCGAGGTATAAAACCATGCACCTATGGCAACTCTAGAGTTCTTTAGTAGATCAGAGAGTAGAATTTGAGAGAAAACTTGCAAAAAGATTTTTGAGTATTAGTTTTATGTCAATTAATTTAATACTTAGTTTTTGGAAGATTTTCAAAGTTAGTGATGTTTTCAATTGGATTAGATTTTTTTTAAAAAACTATGTTTATAAAATTGAAGATCTCTTGAATTTTGTAATATGTGTATAGATAATTTTGGATAGAGTTTTTGTGTGCTAGTTGTGAATGTGCATGCAAATTTTAAAGTCAATCAAATGGTTAGATCAAAGTGTATGAAAGTTTTTGTAGGTTGAGATCTTAGAAATTAGAGTTTGAGGGTTAGTGAGTATTTTTAAGATCTTTAGAAATTTGTCAAATAGATTGAAGTGAATTTTTTTTTGTGTAGAAACTAGATTAGATTTCAAAAATTTAAGTGAATTTTAGGAGCAATTCAATGATTCAAGAAGGAAAAATTGGCACTAGAAGTTCAACATTTAAATTGGAGTAAGAGGCTGGTCAACACCCAAGTGGAATTTAGGATCAATCTTCTATTTTATAAGTTCGATCTTCTTCAAATTTTGTGTGCTTGTTGCCAACTTAGTTGATGTGAGACATGTAAAATCTTAAGCAAGATCAATAATATAATCAATAGATATTGATATTCTAACGTACCTTAGGATTAGGTTAATTTGATTAGGATTTGGTTTAGGATTTAGAGATAGGTCAAGATTTAAGGTTTGTTTAGGATTTAGGATTGTTTAGGATTTAGTTAGGATTTGACTAAGGATTTAATTAAGAACTACTAGGATTTAAACTAGGGTTAAATTAAGATTTAGTTAAAATTTATTTAACATATATTTAGAATTTTATTCTAATACCTCTTTTGAATTTCTTTACGATTTCTTCATGCTTCTTTTATATTTTTTTTAAGGTTTCTTTGGATTTGATTAAATCTTAATTAACATTGTTAAGATTTAATTGGAATTATTTAGGATTCTATTAGAATTAGAATCTTGTTGTTGCAATTTTCCTTCTACCTTTCAAAGCTAGGTGCTCAGTGCATTCTCAAAAAAGGCTTCATGTAATACGAAAAAGTATATGTTAAGTGTAAAATTAAATTTTTATTTTTCACATATATTACTTTATTTTAAAAATATGTTAGATTTTTTTTTTGAAGATTACCTCTTACATTTTTAACTTTCTAAATTTTTTGATTTTATGAAAAAAAAATATTATTAAATCTAAATTCTAAAATATAAGATTTCTATTTTATAATTATATCACATCTTTTAAGGTTTCTATAGATCCATTTATTATCTTTTAAAATTTAAAGAAGCTTCTTCAACTTTTTAAAAGTTAAGTTTGAATAATAATAATAATAGTAATAATAATTATTATTATAATAGTAATAATAAAAAAATTATCAAAAGAAATTAGTATAAGAATGGAATTGAATACAAAATTAATATGGATGGTATAATTTAATTTGTTTCATATA